GCTGGCAGAGCAGCAGAGAGCAGCCAGCGAAGGGGACCTGTCCGCCTTGCAGCAGAGGCAAAGTGATGTTAAGGTCAGTGCTTTAAAAATGGGGGTTGGAAGGTGGAGAGGCTCGGGGCTGCCCCGGGAGCGGACAGAGCCTTAATGGCGTTGTCCGCTTAGGAGCTGCAGAGGAACATGCACACCCGAGCCGCCTCCTTCGCCAGCATCCTGAAAAGCACCGAGGAGTTTTTGGAGGAGAACAAGGCAAAGATGGAGCCCGGGGAGCTGGCAGCACTGCAGGAGAAGCTCCAGCGTGCCAAGGAGCAGTACCGGTCCCTGCAGGAGAGGACAGAAGTAGCCCAGAAGGAGCTGGAGAGCGCTGTGACTGCTGCAGTGCAGCAGGAGACCGAGAAGGTGACGTGCGGAGAGCTGTAGCCCCCAGGCTCTGCTTGAGGCGGAGAGTGAGGTCCAGTGGGTGCAGTCGGATTCATCTGGGGTCCTGGGATTTGTCCAGGCGATGTGGCATAAATTTTCTGGTCCTGTTTGCCACCCAGGCGAGGTGTCCCCCCAGGCATTTCTCTCATGAAATGCCTTGAGAGCTGCAGCCGCAGATGCGCTGGTTGCGGAGGACGCGGGGGAATAAAAAGCACCTTGCTCTGTCTTTGGGCTGACCTGCAAGGGGAACGTGAGCATCGGGCACCTCCACACGCCGGGGGTGAAAGCGATGCTCGCGCCTGCATGCGAGGAGCCGCAGCCCTTGTGGTGGGGACCCTCGGTTGTATGGGGGTGAGAGAGGCAGCGTAGCAGAGAGGCTGAGTTTATTCACAGGCTCTTTGCACCGTCCCCCCCCCCTTTCAGAGAGCCACGAAGTGGTTTGGAGGTCTGTGAGCATCTCAGGCATTTTCTGTGGCTGGAAAACTGTTTGGGGTTTTTCTTTCTGTTGACTTTCTGTCGCCCTCCCCCATGCAGCCCTTTGCTGAACGTGCATAAACCGGGTCGGTCTTATCTGGAGCCTTTGTGCTTTCAGGTGAAAGCTGCCAAAGAGCTGGAGGAGAACAGCAATAAGATCGATTCCCTTTTGAACTGGGTGGCATCGCTGGAGCAGAAGGGAGGGCTCCTGGAGTACAGACCGCACCCCATCGAGCAAGCACCAGGGGTGCGAGCGGGGACGGGCACTCAGGACGTCCCCGATGGCCACGTGGTGGGAGCAGACAGCGCTGCCGAGAGCCTGGATGAGCAGTATGAGAGGCTGAAGGTCAGGACCGACACCTCATCCCCCTCAAAGCTTTCTGCCCAACGCACTGACCCTGCCTCTGGCCGCTGACGCAGCTGGGAGCAGGACGGGGTGTTAGATGGGTCTGGCCTCCGAAACACGTGGTCAGGGTGATTTTTCCATATGGGAGAGACTTGGGAAGTCCCTGCCTGGAGGACGCACACTCTGTGTTGGTGGGTGGGTGCCACATCACGGTGCAATCAGGGCAACGAGAGAAGGTGCCCACCACGGTCAGAGAAGGGGTTACTCTCCTGTGGGCGCCTGCCTTGGGGGGTTCCCCCACCCTTGCTAGGGCTCTAGGAGGGCGCTGAGGCTCAGGCACGCGCGTGGCCTCGCTGAACCCACCGGGTGCTGGTGGGCAGAGACCCTCGGTCGCAAGCATCACCTTTGCTCTCCGGCATCTTTCAGGCCCAGCACCAGGAGCTGCTGTCCCAGCAGCAGGACGTCATCCTGGCCACGCAGTCGGCGCAGGCTTTCCTGGACAAGCATGGCCACAGCCTGGCTGGGCAGGAGCGGGACCGGCTCCAGGGCCGGCTGGCAGAGCTGAAGGACCAGTACGCAGCTTCCCTCTCGCAGTCGGAAACGCGGCTGAAGCAAGTGCAAGTCCTGCGGGACGAGCTGCAAAAGTTCTTGCGGGATCATGGGGAGTTTGAGGCTTGGCTGAAGCAAGCGGAGCAGGATCTGGAGGGGATGTACAAGGGGGACAGTGACCCCACGGCCCTCCGGCAGCTGCTCCTGCGGCAGGGGAGCTTCTCAGAAGATGTGATCTCCCACAAAGGCGACCTGAGGTTTGTTACCATGTCGGGGCAGAAGGTGCTGGACGCGGAGGGAGCTGCTGGGGATGCAGGGTCCCAGCCCCTGATGTCTGGGAGCGTGGTCAAGAGCAAGCTGGAGGATGCAACGCAGCGATACACCACGCTACACTCCAAGGTACGGGAAGGGCTTTGCAAGGCTGGGGATTAAACCCTGGGGGCCATTTTCCTCCTATGATCTCCATATCACCTCCTATAATTCCTTTAACGCTTACGGCAAGATGGCTTTTTTATGGGTTTTTTCCTTTCCTGATGATTTCTGTGCATTTTCCCGGGTTGCTGTGTGCTCGTGTGCATCCTCCCGTTATGTCTTGTTGCTCCTTTGCAGTGCACCAAGCTGGGCTCCCACCTGAACACCTTGCTGGATCACTACCAGCAGTTCCAGGAGGTGGCGGAGTCTCTCAGGACTTGGCTGCAGGAGAGTGAAGCTGCCGTTGGGAAACTGCTTTCGGAGACAGTTTCTTCAGATCCAGCCGTTCTGCAAAAGCAGCTCACCAGTGCTAAGGTACGGGGGCCTCGGGCGGTCTCCTGGCAGAGCGTTGGAGCCTCTTTGGGATTTTGGCCGCTGCCCTGAGCAGCCCCAGCGCAGCCAGCAGCAGGGAAGGGACTCGATCCATTCGCTTTTTTTGTTGGTTGAATGCAAAGATGTACCTGCAGGCTCAGGAGGTCCCGGCAGAGCCAGACCCCTCTGAGAGGTGCTTAGAGCACGGAGCAGGGGCTGCAGTCACATCCCAGCGGGACATGGGGAGGCATTCCTTCCCCGTGAGGGTGGCTGGGCACTGGGACAGCCCAGGCCCCTATAGCCAGCTTTGCACACAGCATGGGGTTGGGCCTTCCAACCTACGTTATTATTTTTCTTAACGATTTTGTGATTGAAATGAACGGGATCCCTCAGCAGGGTTTAAGTGGGGCACCCCATGGGTGCAGGTCTCTTGCGTGTGACCCCACTGGTGACTTTGCCCTGTCTTGTGTCAAAGCAGCAGCTGCAGGGAGACCTCGCTGAGCATCAGGTGCCGGTGGAGAAGCTCCAGAAAGCGGCTCGGTCCCTGCTGGAGGGTCCAGGGGAGCCAGCCCCGGACCACGGGGGCATTCAGGATACAACAGGTACAGAGCAAAGCAGCCGCCTGCGTTAGCAGGGGTGGCGGGGGAGAGCGTGAAAACCACCCAGGGAGGGAGGAGGGAAGAAACCTCCCACTTTTGGGGGAAGGTGGGATAAAGGTGCACAGCAACGCGTCTTCAGGGCTTGCGTTTGCACGTGGCGGGGGCTGAGATCCAGTTTGGCCATTTGCATTGGGTCCCCTGTCTCGCTGCTGGCTTTGGGGATGGGGATTCGTCGTCAGCGGGAGTTTGGCAGGAGCCAAGGGTGGTGCTTGCTGCTCTCTGAGCACCAGGCAAGAAGCTCTTTGGCGCTGATTTTCCTTCGTGCTGAACTCTGCAGATGCCATCATGAGCCGCTTCCAGAGCCTCTCCCAGCAGATGGCCGAGCGCTCGGACCTGCTGCAGAAATCCATCGCCCAGTCCCAGAGCGTCCAGGAGAGCCTGGAGAGCCTCCTCCAGTCGGTGGCTGAGATCGAGAAGAACCTGGAAGGAAACCAGCCAGCCATGCTCTCCTCCTCCTCCATCCAGGACTCGCTTGCCACGAGCACGGTAAGGGTGGTCCCTGGGCTCCCCCGCCTCAGGCGCCCGTCTGCAGGAGCGGAACCATGTGGGCAGTTGCTAGCGGTTAGCTACAGCATTCTGAAAGCACAAAAAAAACCCTCTAAAAAGGGATATAAGCAGAACTTTGACTTCATATCTTTAAGCCAGGACGCAGACCTGTTGAAAGTCTCTCTTCTGCTGGCAAGCAGGGCTTAGATATCAGGCACCGGGAGAAGGCAGGGCAGGTTGGGGAGATCAGAAAGGAAAGGAAAACCGGGATAAAAACACTATTCTTGCCCGATTATTCTTTCCCAAGGGCGGCCCAGCCCCTTCATGCCAGTTCAGTTTTGCTCAAGAGCCTTCCTCAAATGGCATCCCTTTCTGTGCGTGTTCTCCACAGAAGCTGAAGCAGGACATCGCCAGGCAGAAGAGCTGCCTGGAAGCCACCCGGGAGATGGTGACACGGTTCATGGAGGCAGCAGACAGCCCCACAGCCTCTGCCCTGCAGGGCAAGCTGGCGGAGGTGACGGAGCATTTCGGCAGGCTGTGCCAGCGGCAGCAGGAGAGGGAGGCCGCGCTGAAGGGCCTCCTCCCCAAGGTCGAGCAGTATGAGCAGCTCGCGGAGAAGCTGCAGCAGTTCACGGAGAGCAGAGCACGGATGTTGGCAGCTGGGGACCAGCCAGACCGCGACATCGCTCGCCTCTCCC